ATATATATATATATATATATATATATATATATATATATATATATATATATATATATATATATATAAGACCCCAAGACTAGCAAGAAACTAGTTGGATCAAGAGTGATGTACAATTACAAATTACAACAAATAAAAGGGGAGCAACACCAATTAGTCCATTTACATTTATTACTTTTCCCATATATTTCTGCTAAGAGTACACCATTGAAATTATATCATCCACTACTGCGGTGGGGGATTAAATTAGATTGTTGTATAATCTATTATTCCTCGCCATCCAAATTCTCCAAATGAGACCATATAGTATGGTGTATAGCATCTTCCGCTTCTTAAGACAATTGCCCCTTCTTGCTCCAAAGTGTAAGAGATCAGCTACTCCCGAGAACTGCTTTTGAGGAATTCCAAACCATTTAAAAATGCAATCTAGAACCGATGAGACGAAAGAACATCTGATGAGAACATGGTCAACAAATTCTTCTTCAATATCACAGAACTTGCACTGCATTGAAGTGATCTGAACTCCTCTTTTTGCAAGGGTATTAGCTACTAAAATTCTGCCCAATTTCGCGCTCCATACGAAACATGACACTTTTAGCGGGGTAGTTTTTAGCCATGTAATGGTATATCTACCTTTAGTAGTGATCTTGGAGTCCACAAGTTTTCTAACAGCCTCCACAGTGAAAGTCCTATCAAGATTGAGTAAGCATCGAAAATTGTCCGCCCCCTGCGTAAAATTGTGATTACATAAAAGTGAGTTTAATTCTGATAACTCCAATTGAGCTTGAGCAGAGCTGGGTGCAGATCTCTACACCCATTTAAAACTGTCTCCTACTCTCCTTTCAACAATATAACAAGATTTTAAGGATTCAAGTGAGTATAACGAGATTATAAGGATGCAAGTGAGTAGAGCCTCGGAAAACAAGATTGTAGATTCTAAGAACCTATCCATACATCTTTCCAATGGAGTGTGTTGTTTCCCAAAATAACCTGCAATTGAAAAATGTCTTTAGGGGCAATGCCTAAGCTATAAAGATTAGTGAAGGAGTCGGTGATGCTTCGCCAAACGCCTCGTAAGTTTTTTTTTTTTTTTTTTTTTTTTTTTTTTTTTTTTTTTCTCTCGATTCAGTCCACAATTTTCTTTTCAATTTGTGTAACCCTCGAATAACTTTACTCCATAAATTATTGTTCTTGGTTTGAAGAGGCCACAACCATTTGACTAGCAATGAGATATGTTGAGCTTTTACAGATCCGACACCCAAGCCCCCTTCACTTGGTGGTTATTATGTAAATTGTATTAAAAAATAATTATTTTTGCTAATAGACTCATTTATATCGGTTAATTTTAGTTAATTTCCCTAGACATAAAAGACTTACAATACAGTAATGCACCAACATAACAAACAATTAATAACGTTAGTTTTTTCTATTAATCCCCAGCCAAGCATTTTGGAATTCGCTTCAAGGGTTAACATTGTTGCAAACCAACTCCTCAATTCACCATTGTTTCATAGAAATATTGTTTTTGTCCCTTCCCCAAATTTACCCGCATTGAAAAGAAACTACCGAAATTAGTGCATTTTTGCAACCTCCGTTTTCCCCTTTTCAATCTCTTATCTGAAGAATAAGAAGGTAATTTCAGAAAAGAAAAAAAAAAAAAAATCTTGAAGTTTTACAAGTCTGGGTGCAAAGAGGTTAGATTTCCAACACATTAAAAGGGTTTCTTCAAATTCTTTTGCCTTTTTCTGATGAATAGATTGTCTGTTCGTATGTTTGTTTGATTCAATCCTAAAATTTTTAATTTTAATTGAGAATTTATATATCTTGCGTTGATATAATAGGTTTTGATTCATTCATTGGTGAGTGTTATGAAAGTCTCTGTTAAGCTGTTGCATAGGCATTATGTTTCGTTGTTTGCCACTAAGGCACTAACGACTTAATTAAATTATTACAATTAAGGGTATGAGGAAAATATAAACAAGTTAATACGTATATATATTCTACACCGATGTAATTCCTATTTCCTAGGTTTCAATGGGGCGGGTCTTGATCAAGTTGAATCTATCCATTTATGTGATCCAAATGATAAAAAAAACTTGAGTCATTGATTCAATGAGCGACCCAATGGGTTGGCCCATTTAGGCCTATCAATACATGGATCATGATCCATTTATTAAGATTTAGCTGGTCATGGGACTATTTCATGATCCAATGTGATCATCAGTTTAACCGAATCAATCCAAGTCTGACCTAGTGATAAACTTTTTCTTTTATTTTATTTTTCTCCTATAAAGTGCTTTCACTGTTTAAAAAATATTTAGAAAATGTGTAGGAATAAAAAAAGGAAAATTTGTAAAAAGATAGGACTTGATGCTCTCTGTTAGGTTGTTCTTTCTGCACTAAGTCAAAAATAAAACTTATATACAACTTATGTCCAGTTTTATTAAGTCCATTAAATCAAAAGGAAACGAGTCAAAAACACCTTCTTCGTATTTATTTATTTTCACTTCATTAAAGTAGTCAGCATAATCTCTTAGAAGTCCTTTAAGCTAGAATTGGTTAAGGAATCTCTTCATATATTAGTAGTTGTTGCAATATAGAATAAGTTTCATTTTGGTTCATAATAATTTACTACTTTGTCGATTTGAAAGATACATATGATTAAGCGGAATAGGTTCATTAAATTTTTAATCATGAATTTTTTAGGTTTTTTACTATATTTTTATTTGGGCAAATTGCAAGGAATAGCAACGTATTTAACTTTCGCTACCAACTTTCTGCAATTACTAGATCGATAAAATGGGGAAATAATTTTGTTCCTTTTAGTATTTTTGTAAGTTGTAACACCCTATTCTAGAAAAATAACAACTTTAAATGATTTTTTATATCAATACACAAGTCATCCAAAAGTATGTAGCCAACCGTTATAAGAAACGACCCTATCAATTTAATCTAACTTATATATAATTAATTAATTATGCATAACAAACAACATGTTTGACTAACTTATTTCATTCCTTCAAGTCAACCAAACATGATAATGGAATCTAACGATCCATTCCATTACCTTGCTCATTTTATTACTTTGTTCATTTCATTCATTTGTGATTCTATTCCATCATAACAAACGAACCCTGAATAAACAAAAACCGTATCAACCGATGTCAATCATTTACTATTAAAACAATTAAATGATGACACCATATTATTTTTATGTGTACCTAGTTTTCACGATAACTCAAACTCACCTGAAACATCGCCAATAGGGTGTATTTTGGGCTTATCCCTCTTCCTAAAAATAACAACCATAATGCTCATTATTGTAATGAGGCACCAAAATGCTTACCAATATATAAGCATGATTAAATGTATTTTGACCCATAAAATATCATAAACGGCCTATTACAATTTATCTGACATTAAATATATCTTAATATTACCTCTAAATTAATTTCCTTAGTACCTACCCATTTAGTTCAACTTGCAAGTTGGATAGTAAAACTCAAAACCCTAAAACACAGCCAAGAAAACAAAAACCCACGTAAAAACCCGTTAAATGACATATAAGACCCAATAGTAACTGTTAAAAAAAAGTAATGGTTAATCACTACAGAAAATAGTTATTTTCTGTATTTTTACCAACCTGTTTTTGAGATTTCTAATGAATTAGCTAATCTGTATGACACCATTGGTTCTTTCCGTTCATTAATTTGTTTCTTTTTCTTTTTTGACTATCCATTAGGCACATATCAAGCTGATAGTAGCCTAATCGTTTTTTCAGCCTGGATGTGGGGTGATAAAAATGGAGTCACTCTACTTTGTGTTTTGAGGAGATCAAGATCATCATATATCTGGAAAGTTTGTACTGTTTTAGTTGGACTTTCCTTTGACTACGGCTAAAGCTAGTAGAAAAACATGTGAGTCAACTCGGGTCAGGTTTGACCAAGATGGTTAGATTCTTGTGCATCTATTCTGCCATTCTCTATCACAAGTCAATGGTGCGTGAACAAAATTGATTAAAAGTAACCATATTTGGATTGTTTTGTAAGAACTGTTGAGATACATGTAAAATTAGCTAAGACCATGTTTTTTTTCACACCCATATATTAAGCCCATTAAGTATTGTCCTTTCAAATAACGTTTAAAATATATTCAAGAAAAGAGAATACCCAAAGTACCTATTAAGTCTGTATCTTATTGAATACAGAAAATCGTTTACATATCTAACGGAGCAATTCATAAATCTTTGGAACAAGTTAAAACCCTAAACCACATGGAAACCGAAAAAATTGCCGAAACAACAGGACATATAAGAAAAAGTGTGTCCCTCGGGAGTGACCTCATAGACTATGATGGAAGAACATCTGCCGATGAATACCCCATGGATTCCGAGTACACGAGCTCCCACAATACTGAATCCATAATTGAGTTCACAGATAAAGATGATAAAGATCCCGAAAACCAAAAATCCAATTCACTTCAAGTAAGTTCTAATCTTGTTAATCAAGAATCAGTATCTTCCGGATACCAACAATCCCATGAAGAAATCTCGGAAAACGAGTCGCGATTTTACCAAGATTTTCCACAACAGTTGGTTAAATCGAACTCGTTACCGTTTCTTGAAAGTTCATTGTCTAAATTGGTCGATCAATCTCAATCTACCGATGACTTAAAAGCTTTAGAAAGAGTCGAAACTGAAAAAAACACTACGGATGATAGTTCGGATTCATGTAACCATGTGGGGTCCGCTAAAGATTGGATAGTCCCGGGGGTTGATGAATCGGGTAAAGAGAAAAAAATTCAAGAAGATTATACGAGTCGCAGTTGGGACCGATTGGCGAATAGGGATTTTAAAGTTAAACGGATTGAGAAATGGGTTATGGATCTTCATTCTACTCCGGTCAATGAAGTCAACAAGCCCATGAATCTTGATAACCGGAGGAAAAACGCTCGAACCGCTATTTTGGATTGTCAAGCCACTTCGAGAACGGGGACCAAAGGTGTTCGGGGCATGGATGCTGCAAAAAGTTATATTTCTTCATTGAGCGGCTCATCATCGACTGCTCATTTGGCTAACCATGGTTTGGTTACAATACCGTTTTTGAGCGCGTATACAAGCATGAAGGAGCTTAATTTATCGGGAAACACCATAGGTTTGAACTTCTTGTTTTTGGTTATTTTTTTAACGGCTAAATGAAAGAAATAGCAACGTATTTCTATTTGTTTGTTTGTTATAGTCATACTTTCATTTCTTTCTATTTTAGCATTATGTTTGGATGACATTGCGATAATTTGATAGATTTTTTAAAGTATAATGTTGTAATAGAAAGAAATGAAAGTATGATGATATAATAAACAAATAAATGAAAGTACATCGCTATTTCTTGCTAACTTTTTCTTGATTGATGATGCTATTAATTTTAACAGTTAGGATAACGGCAGGCATTCTTCCAAAAGGACTCCATATTCTCAACTTATCAAAAAACAATATTTCTGTTATTGAAGGGCTACGGGAACTTACTCGAATTCGTGCACTTGATCTGAGTTACAACCGTATACTTCGAATAGGACATGGTACGTGTTCTTCGTGTAAATTTGTAGACTTTATTACTTTAAATTTTTCTAAGTAAAATTTTGTAATAGAAAAAAGTGAAAGTAGGATGCTATAATAAAAAATAATAATGAATAGCAACAAATCTTTATTTCATTAGTAGTTTGGTCAATGGACAAATGAAACCATCAATTTTTTAAAACCATTAAAAAACCATCTAGTCGTATCAACATTTGACATGTTTTTCTGTAAAAGTTACTCAAAATAATCAATTTGGAAAAGTGTAGTGCTTCTAGCAAAGACTTTCAAAGTGTAGCGACCAAATTTACATGGAGTATTAGTAGTTGCTATTTATTGTAATTCGCTCGTTACTAGAGTTACTATGTTTTCCATATTAAATGTGTAATGCAAAAAATACTAATAGCAATGTACTTACTTTGATTTGTTTATTATAACATCCTACTTAGTTCTTTCAGTTACGACATGGCATCCAAAATACAAAGTAATATTTTTTTATTGCAATAATTGGGTAGATTTTTCAAAGTATATTGTCCTAATAAGAAAAAAAATTGGAAGTACAATGCTATAATTGGTAGATTTTTCAAAGTACAATGCGTGAGTAAGAAAATAATAATAAGCACAAAACGGTAAGCAAAAGAAATGAAAGTAGGATGCTATAATACACAACTAAATAAAATAACATTACTATTTCTTGCATTTAGCCTTTCTTTTACAGACAACTTAATAATATAAAGACTGAAAGTACGATGCTATAACATACAAATAAATAAAAATTTCACTGCTATTTCTTCCATTTAGCCATTTCTTTTCACAAATAACATAACAACATTGAGTTTTCAATCATTTGAAAGGTCTAGCAGCTTGTTCATCATTAAAAGAACTATACTTAGCCGGAAACAAAATAAACGAGGTCGAGGGTCTCCACCGTCTCTTAAAACTAAAAGTCTTGGATCTTCGTTTCAACAAGTTGTCCACCACAAAGAGCCTAGGCCAGCTCGCAGCTAATTATAACTCATTACAAGCCATTGGGCTTGAGGGTAACCCGACCCAAAAAAACGTAGGCGATGAACACCTCAAAAAGTATCTAACCGGGCTTCTCCCACATTTAGCTTACTACAATCGACAGTCCATCAAACCGGGCTCTTTAAAAGATCCGGTCAACCGGGCTAGCCAACTTGGCCCGTTGGACCGTGGGATGCGGAAGTCAACTCATTGCCGGAAAAGTCAAACCGCAAGTTCACATGGCCGACATGTTCGTTTGCCACCGAGTGGGATGAAGACGGTGAATGTAAGGCATAATTTTCATGATCTGAGTAATAAACGTATGACCGTTGGAGCGAAGAATGTCATTCGAAGAACACGAAGCGAAGGAATTTTACTTAGAGCAGCTTAGGCTGATGCAGGACAAGACATGACAAGACAACAAAACACAACAAAACACAGAACACACGACATGTAATGGATTGAGAATGAGACTGATATCCATGTGATGGATGTGGATATCGTTGGGATTTAGTAGATATGGAAGAAAACATGTAAATATTTTACTTTGTATATAGTGTAAATAACAATTGTTATAATTCCATTGCTATATATTTTTCTATTACCTGAAATTCCAGTCGCGAAACCCATTGTTGTAATAATCATATTAGTTTTCTATTATATAAAATTTGTAGCTACGATAGTATTTTAATGTCTTATTTGCTGTAGAACATATTCTTACTTTTCACATGGAAAACTAAATAAACGAAAATCACAACTTTGAACGTATATATTTTCTATAAAAAAATTATTTCATTAAATATATAACCACGTAAAAATTAGTTGCTTGCAAGTCCAATGATGAATCACTTTATAAATTTACATGTCCGATTTTGTTTTCTTCATAAATATGGTGTTTAATAGAAAGTAGTTACTCACTTACTTGTATCTTTATTTATATTTTTCGGAACAGCACAATTTTATTAAATTACTAGTACGTAAAACGTTTGATAAATTGGGTCCCTATAAAAAAAGTTAATTGTTTTGTGTTACGCTTGATCTTCCGGTTGCTTGTAAGACATTGACCGTGTTTTTTTTTTTTTCCAATGTGAGTTTGCTATTTCTGTTTGACAACGGTTTTGTGTGTGGTTTGGTCTGTTGGGTTAGTCTTTGGTGTCGTTTTGAATGTTGTTGAAGGATACAAAAGGAAACGCAAACTGCTCATTGCCTTACTGTATTAATTGTTATGGTCATTATGGACGGTTAGGAATGATCTCGCTTTTAAGGGGCGGAAAAGCAATCTTTGTAAGACGTGGATGATTTTCAAAATTTATCTTTCAGTTGGATAAAGAATAAGCCTAATCTTTCGTCTTTATGGTGGTTTGAATGATGTAATTCTTCTATTTTAGTTGTACTTTGTAACTTTTCTAACACTAGTCCGTTGTAATGCTATTTATGTCATTCAAAAAAAAAAAAAAAAAAGTGAAACGTTGAAAAAAGGACATATTATGAAAAGGAAATAATAATTGTAGGGATGTAATGAATGTAACCATCTTTCATTTTTAATAACATTATTGTTTTTTTCTCTAGTTTTTTAAATGGTTTGCTTTTAGAAATGTTAAGCTAGAAAGAATTAGAATGTCGTAGATGCAAAGCTAGAAAGAATTGGTTTGCTATATTTTCAATTGGTTTTTAGAATCGCGTGGATACAAAATCCAATTATGTCTTAATTTGTATTTTGGTTTTAGTTACTACCTAACTTTTTTTTTTTTTTTTTTTTTTTTTAAATATATTGCACCCGTTCTCAAAAAAATTCATATTTCTATTAGAAATCTAAAAATTAAGACTGGGAAACAATCTTTTAGAAAATATATGGCTTTATGGCTTCGTTCAGTTGCTGGTTTGATCGCCCCAAACAAAGTGATGTTCCAATTAAATTCCAAAGAAGAGAAAGAGTTGTGATAATGAGAATATCTAAACATTTTCTTTGGGCCGCATTCAAGTTCATTTTACCAACTTTCAAATCCACAAATGTGGCATGAGAAAGAGAAACTAAATCCCACCACCATCCAATTTGACTCCAAATTGACTCGGCAACTGTACAACTTATGAAGAGAAGATCCACACTTTCAGTAGTAGCATCACAAATATTACAAAGGGTTGATTAAACGCCAATCTTTTTATCAACCAAGTTCACAGATGTAGGCACAATAATGCACCTGGTTTAAACGCAATCTCTAAACAATACATTCAACTTGATAAGAATGAAGAGTTCAATCTCGGGGGAATATTTTCCGCCCCTAAAGTGCCATCATCCAAGAAAGATCTAGCAAAAGAGACCAAAAAAACCCAATAGAATCTAGATTTCATACCCATGTATTACGTTGATATGAAGAAACAAAAGACCGAAATAAATCCTATAAATTGGCTACTGGTCATCTTCACCCCTCACCAATCTATACAAAAAAGAGGCCAAAACTCGAGCCAAATATGATCTTGAACTAGGAGATGTTTGTGCTGCTCTAGGGAATAAACTCAAGGAAATCTTTGTTATAATGGTATGTCTCTCGAACAAATGTCATTCCAAAGTTAGCCCATTATCTCTTGTCCACTTTGAACTTGCAAAATGTAGTCAAATCCAAACTTTTACTTTAAAGTTGAAAGGAAGCAAAAACTATAAGACTAAGGGCCATTTTTTAACACCCTACTTCAACTTTGACTAAAATTCCCGTCTTCACAGTGAAGATATTTAATAAGTTGAACCCACAAAATATTGTCATCTTCTAAGAACCATTAATTATAAAACTATGCATGGGTGGTCCGAGGATATGCGAGTGGTGCGGTCCCGCACAGAACCTCTCAGATGTTAAGGGGCCTCCAAACTTAGGGACAAAGATATCGTAATTGTGTTGATATTTTCATAAAATACATTTTTATGTTTTATTATAAAAAAAAAAGCAGTTAGCTATCTACACAATGTGATATTTCGTTTCAATCTTAAAGTAATTTTAATAGTGAAAAAAAATCAAAAAATATAAATCTTATAATAAATTTTATAATTTATCAACAATTTAAGATATATATATATATATATAT